AACAATTAAGTTTAGGTTAACCGGTGCATTTGCGACAGATTCGACAGATACCACGCATAATGTCTATGGGTCGATGGCTCTTAAACATATAGAAAACTAAAGTTGCGATATTTCAAAAAATATACAAAAATTTGGGTCGGCTTTGATTTAAAGATGAAACTATAACAGATTCCTTATAAAACGCCTACGGGCCCAAGGACCTTATTTTAAGATGGATTTCTTCCTAAGGATTTGTTTTCTAGAGAATTTCCATATATAATATGCATATTTTTGTTTTAAGAGCTGTCTGTATTTGTTAAATCGATTTATTTTCTTTGAAAATTTTGTAAGGCTAAATGGTAGCTATATACTTAAGTAAGAATTTAGACATATTGTTATTGATTTTTTTTCTGAAAATGTTTATAACAATTGTTATTTTGCATCTGTTCTCTTGCATCTGTTAGATAAATACTACAATTAGCTATAAGTCATAGTCGTAGGACTTTTTAGAAATGATATTCAGACTTTATACAATGTAGATAGATGACCTGATTACTACATGGTCTACATCAGCATCAAATTATACTCAACAGCAAACTACGGTATAACCAGACAGAAAAATAATATAAATGAAATAGTAATTCCAAAAAATTTATCCACCCATTTAAATATTATATTTATATATATATATTAAAAATACAAAATAATATATATTTATAGTATATAATTTTAATCATATATTTTTTATTTTACTCAATGTTATTATTTACCATAATACATGATAAATATAAAATATGAAAAGAAAAAAATTAAAAAAATTAACCTACTTGTTGAACAAATGCCAATATATGAAGTATTTTTCTCTTGTTTATAATAATATAAAAAAATTATTTAAATTGATCATATTTTTTTTTTTTGCAAATAATAAATAATAATAAAATTGAAATTTCTACTTTCAAACAAACATTTTCATTTAAGCAAACACTTTCACTTTTCTTAAAACAACAACTGTCATCTAATTTTAAGAACAAATAAAATTTATTAGCAGCGCTGTAAAGTATCTGTATTTTTACAGACTTTATTCTAATAACAGCGCTGCTCGCGTCATAACAAATGCAATTTCCAAATCATTATTCCATATGGTTTGCAAGACAGCGGCTTTGCATTGCTGTTTTCTACTGCTGTAATAACAACGCTGCTTGCGTCAATGTAACTGCAATTAGCGGTTCTTGTTATTGTTTTACACGCATATTTACTACGGCTTTTGTTATTTTGTATATTTTGGAATACGATTAAAGTTTTCTGTTACATTTTTAATCAAAATGTTTTAATATTTTTAAATAAAAAATTTTGCACAATAATTTTTAATATTTTTAACACTGATATAAGTAAAATATTTTATATTATCATTATTATTTACATACACACATACATATGGATATTATGTTTACTCTGTATTTCAAAAGGCTCAATTACCACTAAAAATGCACTTGCAAATCATTCTCAATTAAAACTTATTTTTTTAAAGAAATTTGATTGTTTATTTAGTTCAAATATTGTTATTTGTTTATAAATAAATTAATACTACACCTTAAAAATAATGAAACAAATATTTTCTTGCAAAAACCGAACCGTTTAAAGCCGTGTCATAAACCGAACTACTCTCTACTTTAGTCAAATTTTTTTATCTGGATAGTTTAACGGTTCCTTCTCATTTGCTGTTAATGAACTTTATCTACGTCACAGATTCAAATTCATCGTTCATTTTGCACAATATTGAAGGTGGTGAAGATCGAGAAATTATGACGACATTATTTAAATTATTATAATTGAACTAGGTATATTGTGAAATGTACATAAATACGTCAAAAGTCAATGAACACAATGATTAAATTAAATAAATTACCCTTCGAATAACTATTTTCTTCTCCAACCACCTTTCTTTGCAGATCTAACTTTAGTTACGACTGGTTTTTATAGATATCAATAAGATTCTCCAAGCAAAGAAATTTAGTTCCAATGAAGAAGTAATTTTTGTAAGGCATCGAAAAGTAATAGAAGTATTGAAATAATTATGAAAAAAATTGAAAAAATAATTCTATATATTTTGAAGCATTTAAAACAAACTTTATTTGACCTAATCACCCTTGGTCCTTAGTTATAGAACCTAGTCATGATGGGAATAAAAGCACTAAGCCAACTCTTTAGCTGCATTTACAGTGACCATTGTTTTCTCTAAATTGTATCCCTCTATATGGCGGCAATCTGGATAGTGCGTTTTGAACTAATGAGTGCAGCGAAACCTTTCATATATGTATATGAGGTTATGTGTAGGGTTTGGAGCCTACCACTTTCAATGAAAACGAAAAGGAATTTTTGCATTAGGCAACACCAAATCACTAATTAGTTAATTTAAAAGAGGTTTTTCGAACAGTAGTGAACTACAACAACAAAAATTAATTTTATATTATTTTTATTAATTGAATTTTTTTTATTAATTTTGAATTAACTTGACTTTATTCATTTTTTAACTTAACTGATAATTATTAATACTTCGTTTTAGAAATTTCTGATTATTTGAATTTTAAATTATGTACATAAATTTATTTGGAAAAAAATAAATATAGAATAGAATAAAAATTTTGAAATTAAAAATATGTTTCCAAAATTTTTCCGAGAAAATTAACAACAATAGTAAATGAAATTGGCTCAATAATGGAAGAATATAACACAGAGGTAAATTAAGATAATTTTAATAAGTAAGAACAGAATATTAACTAAAGACTGACATAGAATACCAAAAATGGGTTTTATAAAGAAGAGTTTGTGGAAGATTCTAACATCACCATTGATGGCGGAGAACGAATTCAAAAGGTTGAAAAAAAATTTAAGAATTAATTTAGAATTTTATATGCAAGAATTTTGTTAATATATAAAACACGTAGGCTACTGACGATAATGCTTCTGAAGATAATGCTTCTGAAGATAATATGGAAATTGGCATCTGTACCAGCGAAGTTATTCATGAAACTGAACAATATGTATTTAAAAAACGTAAAGAGGAATATTTGCCTGAGGTAATTGACTGATTATTGAATAATTTAAGTAAATATTGTTAAGGGTATTATTTTCAATTTAAAAATAAGTTTACGCAACAAAGTTTTTCAAGCCTACAAGATATGAATTTTAGAGTTAAGGTAAGAAATGTTTTTCTGTATAAAAACTATTAGATATATGGAATAAATTTCTGTTTACATAGGCTGGTGAAAATAAGACTGTTCTTGAACGCTTCAGTGATCATTCTCAACTTAAAAGAGAACAATATATACCCAATGTAAATATTATATGTATCCATTTGAGATAGTAATTTATATCCACTTTCAAGACATCCATACTACAATACAATACTAATTTAGTGAAAATTAAATGCAATAATATTTATAATTGGGTTAAATCGAAATATTTCAGTTATATAATATCTGAATTAAATTGTTAATTAAATCTAATTAATTGAGCTTAGATGTAGTGTTTTACGACATTTTATATAACCATTTAAGATGTATTTAAATAATTAAGCTTTTTGTATACATATTTGAAAATTATATGTGTTGTGATCAATTTGTTCATCTAATCGTAAATATATATTTAAATTATAAAAAAACTTCAATAAAATGCTAACTTATCTATCAGAACGAATTTGATAATACTCATACTAAGAATGAAGCTGAAGAATTAAATAAAGATTTCATGGTATGTAAAGACAATATAATGAGGAAAAAAGTAGAATTATGGTTTGATGAGGTATATTTCAGCATTATTTTTACAAATTTTAATAATAATGATCAATCCCTATTTAGGAGAATATTGCTTGCGATAATACAAGTGAAGTTGAAATGGAAGTCTTTAAAAAGTTTAATGAGCGTAATACTTTAGATGAAGTCGATGCTGAGACCAAGACAAATAATATTTACTTGAATAATAATATTGAAATCGTGATTGAAGCTGAAACTATTGTAAGTAATATTTTGAAGAAAAGAGTAGAAAAAGAGGAAATAAATTGTAATAAATTTACTCTTAGAACAATGATACTTCCAACGATGATAGTGACATCTATGTGGAAATTAGTGAGCCGGTTAGTAATTCCAGTCTACGACACGAAGAAGATCTTGAAACTGAGTACAATGATACTTCCAACGAGGATAGTGTCATGGATGTGGAAATTTGTGAACAGATTAGTAATTCCAGTCTACGATACGAAGAAGATCTTGAAACTGAGGTAAAAAATATTTATTAGCATAATAGCTTTAACAATATATTCATAACATAGTCCGACATATGTGAAAATAATAATATCGATGTTGATGAGGTTGAGAACATGACATTTCAACAAAATGAAACTATATTAATGGAAAAGGTAAAAAAAAATATTTAATTATTAATAATAAAACTAAGCAAAAAAATTAATAGTCTTTTGAAGTTATTTTAGCTTTTAGTTTATAGACTAAAAAACTATAAAAAATTTTAATGTTACAGTTACATAGCACTTTCATTTTCAAAGTTTCAATAATGGTAAACAATATTATTTTCATTAGGATATGAGATATCATAACTTGAGGTGCGCGCGCAAAAAATATCACTGCGTACTTTGATGTTTTTTCTAAGTGTAAAACGTTTAATTAATTTAAATTTATCACAAAAAAATAAAACCGAGACAGTGACTCTTTAAAAAATTTATAAAATATAGTGCCCGACAAAATAAAATATTAACATATTTATATTGTTTTATGTAAAAAAGCGGATTTTGGTTTTGCGGAATTAATTCGCACACATTTAAAAACAGCTGATAGAGACAGCAAATAAAGCTTTTAAGCTTAAATTAAATCACAAGAAAAGTGTTGTAAACAAATCTATAAAAACTAAATAAATTGTGTAATTGTGTAATTAATATAGCTAAATAACTAACAAATGCTAAATAAATAAATACGCGAAAGGACGCTAAAAATATTTATTTATAAATTTTAAGGTAAAAATTTAAATTTAAATTTATATTATTAGTATAAATATACGCGCTAAAAATAGTATTAATTTAAAAATTAATATGACTGATGCTAATACCCCACCTCCCGGTGGTGGAAATAAAGAAAAAATGATCAAACTTGAAAAAGAAAATACAGAACTTCAGAATAAAATTAAAAAGCTTGAAAATTTATATTTATTATTATCCAATGAGTTAACTGCACTGAGAAGTGAAAACGAAAAATTAAAATCTTTTAAAAACGTACCAGAAATTGCAAAATATGAAACCGATGAGGAGGAACTTGCCAGGGAGACAGACTGGATCTTAAAAAAGAAAAGACCAACTAAAAAACGTAAGGCCGAATCCTCTCCTGAAGTAGCTAGTCAAAGTAGACCTACTGTTGAAACAAATACTTGCCAAAAAGGACAAGCTGCCCCTAATAAAATTGCTCGACCTCCTCCTATTGTTATCAATGGCATAAATGATTTTAAAAAATTACATGCCCAACTTATTGCAACTATAAAAAACAAGTTTTTTGTGAGACTTATAAATAATGGTTCATATAGAGTATCAATTTTTGACTCTTTTGACTATAGATCTGTCACAAAACTATTAAGTCACGAAAATATTTCCTGGTTCAGCTACGAAGACAAGCAAACTAGGCCAATAAAAGTTATTGTAAAAAATCTTCACCATTCGTGTGATCAAGAATCGATTATAAATGACTTAAACAACCAAGGTTTAAAAGCAATCGGTGCGATAAACAAACTCAAATGGAAGACTAAAGAACCGCTTGATATGTTCCTTTTGTCATTTGACTCAACCGAAGATGTGAAGAAAATCTATGAGATAAAAAGTATTCTTAACACAATTGTAAAGATTGAACCCATCAAACCGTCAAACTTAATTCCTCAATGCAAAAAATGTCAATCGTTCGGTCACACAAAAAATTTCTGTGGAAAACCTCCACGTTGTGTTAAATGCGCCGGCAAACATTTAACTTCGGAGTGCCAAAAGACAGTGTCCGATAAGCCTAAATGCTGCAACTGTGGCGAACCGCATCCAGCGAACTATCGTGGTTGTATAGTCGCTAAAGAATTACAAAAAATAAAATTAAAAAACAAAGCTGACAAAACTAAGGCTGACGAAAATAATCAAGTTGCTGTAACAAAAAGTAAATCCAAAATTACTGAACCTACTAGTGTTAGAACAGTCACTTACGCCCAAACTGTTAAGGGACCCATTCAAAGTACTGAGTCACAAAGCAACAACGCGTTGTCAATTATCTTAACAAAACTTAATCTACAAGAAGAGGTATTTAAAACGCTCGAACAACGTCTAAGCGTGCTAGAGCACAATATGCAATTTTTAGATTATGACTAATCGTTTGAAACTATTCTTATGGAATGCGAATGGCTTAACAAAACATAAAAATGAACTCGAAGTCGTATTAAATAGCGAAAACATTGATATCGGTTTAATCGCTGAAACTCATTTTACTAAGCAATCGCACATAACGTTTAAAAACTATATTCTATACCATACCATACATCCTGATAATTGCGCAAGGGGTGGCAGCGCTGTCATAATTAGAAACTCGATAAAACATCACTTACTAGAACAATATAGCACAATCGAATTTCAAGCTACTTCTGTTTCCGTGGAAACCTTTAATCAGCCGCTGGTCGTAACTGCATTATATAGTCCTCCCAGGCATCAGTTGAAGTGCGCAGACTACTTATCTCTCTTTAACCGGTTTCAAGGCCGTTTTATAATTGGAGGAGACTTCAATGCAAAAAATACGTTTTGGGGCTCAAGACTTAATACAACCAAAGGAAAAGAAATGTACAAAGCCATGCAACTCGCAGCTTGTAATTCAATTTCAACTGGTAAACCAACGTACTGGCCGTCGGATACTAGCAAAGTTCCAGACCTAATAGACTTCTTTGTCTACAAAAATATTCCAGCATCTCACCTAACCATCTCAGAAGGCTTCGACTTTAGCTCTGACCACTCACCAGTGCTGCTGATAGTTTCACAAAATCCAACAATAAACCAGAACACACTCAAGTTAGCAAATAAATTTACCGACTGGAAATATTTTCAGCTTCAGCTTGTACATTTGCACAAGTTTGATCATATTGTTAACAGCGAGCAACTAGATGACGCAGTACTTCATTTCACTCAGCAATTGCAGATGGCAGCGTGGAACAGTACACCAACACCAAAACTCCAAACTCTACATGGTAAAAAATACCCACCCTTCATCACAAAAAAGATTACGGAGAAGCGAAAATTGCGAAAACGTTGGCAAGCAACAAGATGTCCGTTAATTAAATCGCAACTAAACCGAGCAACTAAAAAGTTACGCACAGCCATCAAATCATACAAAAATAATACCTTTAATAGTTTTCTGATGGGCCTCACGGCAGACAAAAAAAATGAATACTCTTTGTGGAAAGCTGCTAAATCATTTAACAGACCAATGCAGCAGTCTGCCCCAGTAAAAATAAACGAAACTCACTGGGCTAAAACAAATTCTCAAAAGGCGAACCTGTTTGCTGAACACCTAGAGAAAACCTTCAGTCCAAATGAAGGCCAAGATGTTATTGGGTCAAGTACAAATTGCCCCGAAGGCGATGCTGCAATTGTTCCAGTCACTACGGAAGAAGTGAGAAAACAAATTTTGACAATGAAACTCAAAAAATCTCCTGGTTTTGACTTAATAACGGCTGAAGTTCTTCGGAACTTACCCAATAACTGCATCATCTACCTATGCGATTTAATTAATTCGTGCCTCCGTTTGAAACATGTACCCATTTTTTGGAAATTCGCTGAGGTAATTATGATACCTAAACCAGGGAAGTCTCCCAATGATGTATCCTCATATAGGCCAATATCTCTATTGCCAACCTTATCGAAGCTTTTTGAAAAACTACTACTAGCGCGTTTATCACCAATAATCGAGAGAAGACGCTTAATTCCGGATCATCAATTCGGCTTCAGAAAAAACCATTCAACCATCGACCAAATACATGTAGTCGTAAATGCCATTGAATCGGCGATGCAAGAGAAGAAAGTGTGTTGTGCCGTGTTCTTAGATGTATCACAAGCCTTCGATAAGGTTTGGCATGAAGGATTACTCCATAAACTTAAATCATTATTGCCTATACAATACTGTAAGCTACTATCATCGTATCTAAACGACAGGTACTTCAGTGTTAAATATGAAGATGCACATTCAGCACTAAAGAAGATTAGCGCAGGCGTCCCGCAGGGGAGCATTCTTGGGCCCATTCTATATCTCCTGTATACACACGACTTACCCTCTGCAAACCAACTAGTTACAGCAACATTTGCAGATGATACTGCGGTTCTAGCAATCGAAAACAATATAGAAGACGCGACGGCTAATCTGCAACACACAGTCAATCAAATTGCTTCATGGGCAAAAAAATGGAGAATCAAGCTCAATAAGGAAAAATCAGTACATATAGTCTTCTCATTGAGAAATTATAACCATATTCCAATTCATATCGATGCCACAAAAATTCCACACGCCAACGAAGCCAAATATCTGGGCATTACGCTTGACGCCAAGCTGCGCTGGAAAGCGCATGTTAAGAAAAAACGAGAAGAGCTTGACCTAAAACTAAAGAAATTTTACCACCTCATAGGCAGGCGCTCTAAACTGGCAATCCACAACAAACTAATGGTCTACAATCAAATACTAAAGCCGGCTTGGAGTTATGGCATACAATTCTGGGGCTGTGCCAGCAAGAAATACATTGCAACTATCCAGCGCTTTCAAAATAAAGTACTACGATACATCGTAAATGCTCCATATTACATTAGAAACAGTGATCTCCACCGTGACCTTGACATACCAACAGTCGACGTCGTGGCAAAAAGGTGTGCCATTGCTCACAAACAGCGATTGAAAACACATGTCAACGTTACAGCATCCAGTCTTCTCCAGGTGGTTGCAATATCTAGACGGCTAAAAAGGAAAACAGTGGCAGACTTAATGGACAGCGAGTAGCAAAATAGCTTCATTTTTTTTTTTTACATTAAATATTCAAATAAAATTGCTTATTAGTACCTTTTTTTTTGTTATTTGTACTAGGTGCAATATTAAAACGATTTTTGTCTTTATTTGAAGAATCGTTAATAATAAATAAAAAAAAAAAAAAAATTAGGTTTAACTTAACCTAAATAGACCAAAGTTATTGATGGTTTACGTAACCCCTTGACTTTTATTTTGATATCATCCCTGATTTTCTAACGAGTCTGTATGATACGTGTATTTGTGATGTAAACGCTAATTGTATCATTTTAACGTACTTATTTTGTAAGAGTTCCAATATCAGATTCTTTCAGTTCTCTAGGATCCTTTAGATCCTTAATTTTTTTTAAAATTGCATTTCTGCTCTAAGCCAAGGCTGGACATCTACACAATAGATGATAGCTTGATATTTCTTTCCTGTTTGCAGAAACCATTAGAAACACCAGATGATACCCCATGCCACAAAAGATATAATATTTACGATTTCTGTCATATGTTATTATTTGCATACTTTTTATTTTAGGTTACCAAAGATAATGCCATTAAAACTGAGGTTGATAGTGAAGGCCTAAATAGGATCTCTAAATTGTATGCAACAAAAGAAAATGCTGTGCTTGGGGTAAAGAAAATTACTATTATTAGACAATGCTTTATACTATATTTAAACTATATTTACTATATTTACTTTTACTTCATAGGAGAATACACATATTACCGATGTTATTGATATGAAGAACAAACTGATTGGAATATACAAAACAATGAAAACTGATGTAGACCTTCACATTAATGATAAAAAAAATTTGGAAGCTGACGTATATTATATTATTATTTTATTTAATAAGCCTTGTTAATTTAAATCATTATCAGGATACAACTACTGAAAGCATTGGGACTGATATTTCAAATACAGAAAGATCAGACGATACAGATATTAGTGTAGAGGTAGTCTAAAAAACGTATGTAGTAATACAACAAAAACTATATACTTTAACTATTTAAGACTATAGAGGACGATATTGAATCCATTCAACTCCAAGGAGAAGAGTTTGACCAAGATAAAACGAACAGTGAAGTAATAAGCTTTTGTAAAAAAATTTCAAACTGATTTATATATATTTTTACTTGAGCAGGCCAACAAACTGAACACAAATGAAGATAAAGAAGAATTTACTGGGCAAACCGATTTCAAACTACATGAAATTAACCGAGTGTATTTCAGTACTGCATTTGACTTAATAGAACAAGAACGTGCAATGAATTCAAAAATTGAGTCGTTTTTAGAACGTCAAACAGCTATGAGATTAAGTCTTCCAAAAATGGATAGGAATTCAGATGAAAGAAAGGTTATATATGAAATAAACATAGATTATAAATAAATGGGTAATTTTAAAACTAATAATACTTTCAGTCTAACATACTAAAACTTCAAAATGAAACAAAGGAAGTTTTATTAATGGAAACTTCTTTTCTCACCAATGTACTCCAAGCACCTTTAATTATGCTGCTTTGTGCTTACTACTATAAACCATCAACAGAAAGTGCTGGGACTCATGAAAATGGTCATTATATCTTTGCCAATATTGCAAGACGTTTGCAAAAGGCTGATAACGACAAAGAAGAGGAATGTAAGAAGTTTGCTCGGATTTCTTCATTATTCAAATCACAGAAATATCTTCTAAAGCATAGCTATTTAATCAAAAGACAGTATGTAGATTATGTAACAGCTATCGCAATGCGCACGTATTTACATGAAAAAGAATTAACGCGCAGAGCTGTATTTCAATGTATTCTATTACGTCATATTTGGGAAAAAGTATATGGTTCGGATGATGTATATAAAAACTGTGTTAAAGATTTTTTTAAATCAGTCAAACATCAGTATTTCATATTAGAAAAAGTTGATTTGCTTATACTTAGCATTGAGAAATTTTTCTCTAATTACGATTGTTCTACTAATATAGGAGAATCTCGGTTTTTTCTTGACGTAAGTATTTTTATAATATAAACTTATTACAAAGTTTAACAATTTTTATATATTGGATTAGACGTTACTGGCGATTCATAAATGTCAAACAAAATGAAGTTGAAGTCTTCGAAAATAATACAACTGGTTAAAATTTTAGAGATTATCGCTTATTGGTTGTTATAGATATCGTCAAATAAACATTTTTTTGTACAAAATTTAGTAAAAATAAATTTAATAATGGAGAATGATAATGATATTGTAGAGTAACTTTTATTTCAACTTTGCCGCACCTATTTATTGCTTACCTGTACAATATTGTTGAGCACGCTTTCGACACTTCACTCAGGTTTATCCAAGCCTAAACAAATAGTTTTGTTTGGTGTATTATGAAAGAGTATTTCAATATTTTCATTTGTTGATCAAACTTCTAAATTTTTTGGGTAGAGGACTCAGTAACTGTAGAGGACTCGATTTTGTCCATAGTTTGATAAATATCCTCCAAATATGGGTGGAATAATAAAATTGATATATAACCATAATCCCAACAGACCAGAAATTGAATAATTCGTTTGCGAACTAATTTGTGACGAACGAAATATGGTGTATTAGGGACGGCGGCGAACAATTTACTTCCCACCTTATAATAGGTGTCTTTTCAGATATTCTCAATATTAGTTACAGAATGAGAATCGTCTTTGGCAATAATCACAGCAAATGAAAACGTACAACAAATTATGGATAGCTATATGAAACATGCTTCAGTGTGTAGTTTTTGTACCATCAGAAAACTGTTAGCACTACTAGATATTATTATCCTGCTATCAAGACAGCTAAAAAACTGCTATTAGTTTGGAATAAAGTTGATTGCACGCAAGTCAACATACCTGTTTATTGCTTGCAAACCATCACTACTACAACTATTACTGTACATAATCCAGCTAAGGAAAAAAGTGATAAAGAGAAAGGCGATTTTTATTATCTCTCCGAAAAGTCGTAATTGAAAGTTATCGAACTAAAATTCTGAATGAATAGGCATAAAATGTATATATGGGACTCCAGTCTTTGCACATAGAAACCAATTCAAATTTACATAGATGGTAAATGCTAATCTAATCTTAGTTACAGATTAGGTTATGATCTATGATAGCATCCGATTTTCACACAAACATTTATATAAACGAACTTGATAGTCGCCTAATGGTCGAACCATTAATAAAACTGACCATGTGATAGTTAGCTTTAGCTACATTTCTAACCTGCTGTTATAATATACAAGGAACAACGGTCTTGCTACATTTTATACAACACCTGAGTAGACAATCCAAAACAATATTCTCATGGTTTTAAAACTTTTTAACTAACTAATCTAATCTAACTTTGACTAATTTTACAGTCTCAATGTAGGAATACTGACTTAAGTAATATTTAACTCAGTATTAAGAATTAAGTCGCGATATGCACTAGAGTCGATCTTTATATATATATAAACTTTTAGATTGGTAAATTTGGACTTAATCTAGATTCATTCTAGATCTGTCAAATTTTGTTGCCGAATCGAACACTTTTATAATATAATTTAACATTTTTGTAGTTGTATTAGTAGACATTTATATTTTTTATAAATACATATGTCATATTACGAGGGCGGTTTTATAAGTCAGTGACTTTTTGAATAAAATCAATTTTTTTCGACAAATAAATATTTTATTTTTCTACATAATCACATTTTAGTTTGATACATTTAGTCCAGCGTTTTTTTAGTTTTCTTTTTCCCTCCAAATAATAGGTTTTCTCAAAGCTCTCAAAATACGCATTTGTTTCGGCCATTTCTTTAGCGTTTTACATTTTGATCGAGATTTTCCATTCGATAATAAAAATTGCACTATAAGTGAATCTCGATTATAAAATTTGCCCCAGGTTTACCAAAAGAAAACGGCAATAGTTAATAGTTCAAAACTGTGGCTTGTAATTCAACTGTTCGCTGTTTGGTGTTAAAGTGAAGCAAAATAATATTTATTTGAAGACTTCATATCCTACTTATATCAAGACCACTTTTTATTCTTAATGAACAGTACTAATGCTAAATTAGCAAATGCAATATCTGACTTAAACACCTACAGAACAATGTTAATCAAGTCAACTCTGTCTCTTGATGCTGTGTTCCAAACAATTTGCATTCAACTGAAATATTAAATCATTTTCCACTATATCGATCTGTCTCCTTTACAATTAAGTATTTTCTCCTATATTGTTTTAATATTGTATATATTTTTTATGTTTAATGTTTTACTATTAGCCGACGTAATATGCATTTTCTCGTAATATGCGTGCCACTTTCTATGATATATCAAAATGTATCTTACTTTATCATTGATCTTAATGACAATTATTTTTTTATATTAATTTGTGACGCCTCTTATAATGAAAAGATTTAGAAGGTTTCCAATAGCAAAAAAAAGACAGAGACAAACATTTTATTTAATTTATTGAAATTTGCCTGACCGTACAACGCTGTTTCGAGTATTGCCAAGTACTCATCATCAGTGGTCTTAGTGATCAAATACTCAAATTTTCTTTTTTTAATAAGTTTATGCTCCATATATAATTTGTTTAGATTGCAAGTGCCAGGTTTAGAAGTCATACCTGTCAAATTAGAAGCGATGACTAATCTAGTCTTGCTAAAAACGTTATTAAAATGTATAAAACAAGTAAATATATATTTAATAAATGATTTTTGATGTTATAGTTTAAATTAACTTCTTTTATTTTTTGCATTTGAGTAATTTTTGAACATACTTTTACATTTGAAACCCTAAAACTCTCGAAAAGTGACAGTCAATTCTCGGCAAACAAAGTGCAAACAACAAAAATTGAAAACTGAAACTATAATTAATTATGGCGGAGTGGAGTGTATGTCTCCAATTTCAAATTAAGCATAGAACTGCTCAGTATGAAATTTTTACCGCCGACAATATTTTGTCATATCAAAATGTAACACTAGAAGCCACAATTCGTAACCGTCGACAACTGAACTGGACCGACCGACCACACCCGCAAGCGTTGCATTGCACGGCCAACAGCAACCTAGCAACAATGTTGGTGTGCATTGTTAAGCTGAGTTGAGCTCAGTTTCAGTAGCGCAGCAATTTTTATCTCAAATTCATTTGCATCATTGGTAATTGTGATCCCCGTGATGAAGCGAGGCAGCAGAGTAGTAGGTAACATTACTGACTGCCGACAGATACGTCTGCAGCTGTAAAGCATCTAGTATACAAAGTGGACGTGTGTATATAGTGTGTGAATATTCATTTCTGTTGTGATTATTTTCTTATTGTTTATTATTTGTGCCTTGGCTTTGTGCTGCAAGTCATCGCTGTTGCCACTATTAGCATCCCTCGACATTAGCAACAACGCAACATTAGTATAAGAACTTTGTTTCTGTCGTGTCTGTCGTTTGTCGTTTATCGTCTGTTTAGTTTTGTTTTAGTTTATTTGCGAATTCGCTTTCATTTTCATTTGTTAGCAGCTCGAAAAGGGATTTGCAGTTACAAGCGACAACTGCGATGCATACGTTTTGGGTAATACAAAATTTCGGTGTCAAACGAGACGTCGTCTATGTGTAGTCAAACCATGAAAACTTGTATCTGTGGAAGTGTGACCATGGTTACTTTCGCTGGTTTAGGTGCATTCTGCTCTGTGGTTTATTGTTTTTACACACACATTTTTAGAACTGAAATTTGATTCCCATATTATTATTCCTTTTTGCTTTTCTGTAGTTTTAGTTTTTGTTGACATTGTTTACCAAAGTTAATTAAGGGTTTCCAAAACGTAGTAATGGAATCAAAGAAAAAAAAATAAAATAGAAAGTGCAATGAACTTTCTTTTCAGTAAATATTTTCCATACAATTCGATTGCTGTTGTGCGCAAAAACTGTAGAATAACAGGATAAGCAACATATTAAAGCCAATTTTCTTGTCATATGAGTACATTTTTAGCAACATCCACAATGCACGTCTAATAAGGTCACCAGGGATCTTTTGTTATACAAAGAAAATAAAATAATAGTGAGAAAAATATTAAATCCGTAATGTGCTTATCTTTAACATTTTCAACACACAATTCAATTCAATAGGAAAGGATATGTAATCGTTTGCGTCAAATTCAAAGACTTTGGAACGCATATGCCACTTGGATTGACTTGTCGTTTTCATTTGCTATTCAATTCTAATTAATTTTCCTACTTTACACTTGATGGATTTCCGACGAAAGCCAATGAAACTCTTCTTGAATTTAATACTCCAGTAGTGACTGTTGTTGTAGCAGAGCAATAAACTATAATATTAATAAAATTTACGCGTGCCTTTTTAACAAAGGAAGCCAACGAAATTACCGCTTTTATCAGCAGCAGCTGAGCCAAAAGTTATTGTGACAGCGATGGCAGCCAACAAAGAAACCTTGGGCAACACATAATACCGTTGATATCCTTTAAGAGCATAAATTCTAATGAAACTGTCAAGCAAGTAACAACATAAAGAATCTTATGAAAATGTTTTCATTTAAGTGTGAGTAACACGTCAAGACATTATCTACGCCTGTCATTGTTTTTAGATTTCTTTTACGTATTTTATGTAACATTGACCGAAAATACTTAGAAACCCCATTAATTTGCTCAATGTAACATATCTACTCTGCGGGCATTGAAATTCTTGAACTGTTCTATTATGGAATAAAAGCTGTCCAACTAAGCGGAAAATATTGAAAAGAAGGGTATACCTTTTCACCCAAGTAGGAACTGGAAGATTATAAAAATAATGAAAAAATAAAATAAATTGAACACAGCATGGTAGCTTGAGTGCGACATTAGAAAACCTAAAAACACTGACCTATACGTAATACGACTTACTAAAATAGTTTTATGTTATTATTCTAATGATATTTTGAGAATACTAAAAGTGAAGGAAACATTAAATTCGCCCAAAGCAGAATGAAACAAGTTTGGGATCGTATACATTACCTATATTCAAACTAAGCACAAAATAAATTTATAATTACTTTACGATGTATATTACCCTGTCTATCTGTCGGACTGTCTGGGCTAGACTAGAAGACTTTCAGCTTTCACCTATTTAAATTTAATTTAAGAACTTTTCGTAAATTGTAAGTAAAATGAATTAAATTAAAAATGGATAAAATATAAATATGTACAAAACCCTTAAAAGTCACAGTCTGAGACTTGA